AATAAATTAAGTTATACATATTAATAAAACTTATGCAATCTGCACCATCGAAATGAAAGTACAAAGACTGCCACCTGGTGGTGCAAAGAGAAAACTTATTGATATGAACGCTTTAGATCGCTTTAGTACAAATTGTGTATAATCGAAATGCAGAATATGTGACTTTTTTTTAAAGCAATAATACATTTATGCAGTCATAAACATGTTTTGATAGTTAATATGCCGGTTTTTTTATGCTTCACAAAAGTTGCAGAAGCCTTTACCAATATAAAAATGCTTTTGTAAACAACCAGTTACTCTTTACACCGATTAAAAAAATCTTTTCTAAATGTAGAACTAAATACATTGATTTGCATTGAAATACATGATGAATACTCTTGACACATGAAAGTAAAAAGCCTGCAGCTCACAACATATGTTGAAGGTTATTGTGTGTCATATTTAACAAACCGTTTCTTCTAATTAAATGTAATTTTGCTCACATGGATAATTGAATATTAATCAGATGATGTCATTACGCTGCTGTGCCGTCAGCCAATCGCTGCATTGCTGATCATGATTTCGAGGATCGATAGATCTGTCCTTCACAACATAAGCAGCGATCTCAGATCAGTTTATCCAGACATTCTAATCTGATTCGCGAACTTGTTTGAGGAACCAAACTAGCCAGAGATCAGTTATCAAGATTAAAAGATCCAGTATCTGCCAAATCATCTTAGATCATTTAAGCGAGGTACGAAGAACGGACCCCTGGTCTGTTTCCAGCCAGCTGTTGGCACTTAGCTTCTGCTATTTAAGAAACGTCATTACGTGCTTCATAGTCAGTTCGTTACTCTGGTTTATGGTTTCTCTGTGTGTCTTGTCAGGACCCTCGTTTATCTGGTTGCTCTTGGACTCTCGATTAACCCGATTCTGTGACTGCCCTTCCTCCCGACGCTGGATGTTTATATTGTTACTCGCTGAACTTTCCTGAATTTCCATTAAAATTTTACTTGCAATTGAATCCATCTACCTAGTGTGTTTTCCCAAACGTGACAGTTAAGCAATGTGTATGCAATTGGACATGCATAGGCACATAACTAACACGCTCTGTGCTGGACTTTAGAGCAGCTTTTACTTGGTCAATGGCACAGTCTATTTCAGTTCATCAAAAAGCAACACACTAACAATGCACCTTAACACACCTGCTTATTAGACCAGCATGCCCATAAGTCCACAAAGTGGTACAAATGGATTTGCTATTTAAACAATGGCAAAACCTGGTGCAAATGTGGTGCAAAACGTGAAAAACGTGAAAATTACAGCTGTGCTCGTCTGAAAATAGCAACAAATCATCTTGATAAGGCCTCTGTCTCTATAATTCCTACTCATGGTTGAATAACCTATATCCAACAAATAAAGTTGCTTTCAATTCTTAATTATACATTATATTTGAAAAAAAAAACAATAGGTTTGTTGAATTTTGAACTCCACTGTATGTGTTAACGCGATAAAACATTTTTTTTTGTCTTGTATTAGATGCTGATCTGAGAAATATCAGCTTGTATGATGTTGACAAAAGCCTGAACCTGCCAACTTTGAATATGAGCCAAAAGAAAGCTGTTAAGGAAGCTATGAAGAAGCCTTTTACTGTGATACAAGGCCCGCCAGGTAAAAAAATACAATACTTCACATGACAATGGCAACTACAAGCTTAGCTTTTCCTGAGAATATTCTAAGAATCATGGCAGGGATTTGGCTGATATTTATGTTGGATGTTGTAGTCATGGCTATAAATAATTTAGGGTTCAAAGTAATTATGTTGAATCACAGAATCATTTGGAAGCAACCAACACATTGCTGGCTGAAGTGGCATCCACAGTTCTTTTAAGCAAAAAGCCGAGTTTTAAAGATTTAATTCAACTCAGTTCATCTTCATTTCTATAACGCTTTTACAATGTAGATTGTGTCAAAGCAGCTTAGCATAGAAGTTCTAGTAAATGTAAACATTGTCAGTCCAGGTTTCAGAGTTGAAGTTCAGTTCAGTTCAGTGTTGTTTAATTTTCACTGCCGAAAGTCACTGAAGAGAAAATCCATCAATGCAGAGCTTCACAAGTCCCAAACCAAGCAAGCCAGTGGCGACAGTGGCAAGGAACAAACTTCACCAATTGATGAAAGTAAAGGAAAAAAAAACCTTGTGAGAAACAAGGCTCAGTTGCACACGACCATTTCTTCTATTGCCAAACTTCTTGTGCAGAGCTGCAGTCTAGGTGCTGAAGGCTAAGGGACCCTGGACGTCCTTTGTGGAGAAGCTGCAGAAGTGAGTAGGTCACCAGCAGGTGTTTAGGCTGGCCCACGAGATCAATCAAAAAACTTATCTGTCAAAGTAGTCTGTCAGGAAATGTCTTATGCCCTCCGGACCTCCATGACCACCACAGCATCTTCTCAGAATACGGCCTGGTCCAGCATTATGGAAACCTTGGGAATAATGAAAAACAGACTAACATAAACGCAGATGATTCAATTTAAAAATTGCCTTGTGGGAAGTGTTCCCGGCTGATGTACCTTTCCAGCCAGCATTTTTGTGCATGTGTGTGTTTAAAAAAAGTCTAATAGATGTCTAAACATAGACATTTGCCCAAAACAAGGCTGAATTTAGGCTGTCAGAGAAAGTCTAATAGACATCTAAGAATAGACTAAAACTAGACTAGTCATCAAATAGAGAGGAATGAATGACTACACATGTGTAGTCTGTCTAATCTGTGTATTTTGATCAATAGTCTAGTTTTGGGCAGTTTAGTTCTATTAGATTTTCACTCATGGACCAAATTTAGCCTTGTTTTTAGCCAAATTTAGCTAAGACGTCTGTATTTAGATATCTACTAGATGTTTATTAAATGCAAAATTACTTGGTTGGTTTACCATTTTCATTCAATTTTTTTCAATTCAATTCACCTTTATTTGTATTGTGCTTTTACAATGTAGATTATTTCAAAGCAGCTTAACATAGAAGTTCTAGCAAACTGAAACTGTGTCAGTCCAGTGTTCAGAGTTGGAAGTTCAGTTCAGTTCAGTGTGGTTCAATTTTCACAATTGACGAAAGTAAAGGGAAAAAACTATGAGAGAAACCAGGCTCAGTTGAGCACGACCATTTCTCCTCTGGCTAAACGTCTTGTGAAGAACTGCAATCTAGGCACTGGAGGCTGGAGAATGCTGGACATCCATCGTGGAGAAGCTGCAGGTAGGAGTGGTCACCGGCTGGTGTACAGACTGGCCCTACAGGATCAATGCGAGGACCTTTCTGTCACTGGGGTCTTAAGCCGCCTTTCCACTGCACGCGACATTTGGACACGACTGTCGGAATACGCCCCCTTGTGGCAGCCGCGCAGTATTTTCAGTGTTGTCGTGCACCACGAGGAAGAAGGTGATTCTCAACGGTGTCCGAAATAAAGGACTGCAAAATATAGCCTTTATTCTCTGTGCGTTTACATAGTTTAATGGATGAATGAATACTAGAAACTCATAGACCGCTAAAATATTGGAGGGAATGTGGAGACAACATTAAAAATATATATTTTTATTACTTTCTTACTTACATTTATGAACAGAAAAGTTTTTCTTTAATATAGACTTTTCATAATTCAAAAAAATAACCAAATAAACGTATTCTATTTCTCATCTCGCGCGCACGGACCTGCTTGGACAACACTGGAATACATCATATCCGGTCGGCAGGTCACATACGGTCTAATCGCAGGAGTTCAAATATTTCAACGGATCCGCAGCTCAATTCGGATCCGAATTTTCCGCATACGGAGATGACTGGACCTCAACGCAGCTTCCGTTCTGTCGCTTGTCGTTTGTCGTGTGCAGTGGAAAGACGGCTTTAAAGGGGTCAGTCTCATGCTATCCGCTCCTCCATGACCACCACAGCAGCTGCTCAGGATATGGCCTGGTCCAGGATTACGGAAACCTTGGGAATAATACAAACAGACTAACATAAGCGCAAATTATAATGTCTTCTGGGAAGGGTTCCCATCTCCGGTTGCCCTAAATAATGCAGACTAACAATCCTTTAGAGGATTTTTAAAAGCATTTGTCTTTTATATGTATGCTAATGTGTCTTTTAATCTAGTTTTAAACTGGCATGTATATGAGGGGTGCTCACACTGAAAGTGTTTTTGATTCACTGTTCAGTGTTTCAGCCATTTTGTTGTCTTCTATGTGTTTTTGTCTTATATTTGGGGGTGTTTTATTTTAAATGTAAAGTTAAGTCAAGAAACGCACTTTTCTGATGTGCTCCAACATTGTCATCCACAGGCACAGGGAAAACGGTGGTTGGCATACACATTGTTTTCCAGTTTTTCAAGAAGAATAAAGATTTTATGACATCTTTTAAACCTAATCATACAAATCCTGATGGAAACCCCCCCAAAAAGCCTGCCATCCTTTACTGTGGACCTTCAAACAAGTCTGTGGATATTGTTGCAGGTGAATTGTGTTCGGGTTTAAGTCTGATTTTGCATACAAATGTAGCACCTATTATTAATGAGGGAATAAGAAGTGTAGTGTTTGCAAGCATGCCGATGTAAATGTTTGATCAATGCATTCATTGTCAAGTGACTGTCTCAGAGCAGCTGCTGAAACTCAGCGGAGTCCTGAAGCCTCTGAGAATCTACTGCGACCAGATGGAGATGCGCGAGTTTCCCTATACAGGAAGTGAGCTGAAACTCTGCCGCAGATCTCTCCGTGATGAAAAACCAAAAGAGGAACTCAGGTAAGAGCTTTCTGATGACGCAGTGTAAAATTTGGACAACAGTGGCAGGGGAAGAAAAGCAAGCATATTTTTCACTTGATATACCTTGTGCCATTTAATTTGTGCCTTGACATTTAGTATACAATGGTAACACGTGCTGTTAAAATTATTTATAGATTTAACTATTGAGTTGGAAAGAGGGGTTTAGCTTTAAAGGGCCATGAAACCCCCCTGTTTCAGCAGGGTGTTTTCACACCTCTACTTCAAACTGGGCTTGGCTCAGTCAGAAGCACCGTTGAAAGCCTTCGTCATCCAGGTTCAGTTTCTGGAGGAGTTTATGAGCTCACAGAGCTGGATGCACCTCTGAAAGCATGTAGTGGACTCAGACACGGTCCTAAACGTATTGACACAGTTTTTCAGCCTTTATAAAGCACATTAAAGGGCCATGAAACCCCCTCGTTTCAGCAGGGTGTTTTCACACCTCTACTTTGGAAAAAGTCAAGAAAGTGGGCGTGTCCAGCTCTGTTTAGGAGGGAGTGTTGGAGGAGGGAAAAAGGGGAAGGCTTAAGGCTGATTTATACTTCTGTGTCAGACGCATAGCCCTTCACTGTGGCCGTCGGCGTCGCTGACGTGCACCTCTCAAAAAATGTAACTACACGTCGTAATGACGCGTAGCGCAAGCTCTGTGATTAGTCGGCTTGGTAGCGCTGACGAGTCTGGGCGAGACCGAGAGCCACGTGAATGGTGCAAGCCTGATGGAGCGATTATTTACAAGTGTGGAGTCCCGTGAAGGAGCTCGGGATGGAAAGTTTTGTTTTGTGTTTACCTCATAGTTAAAGTTGTTGCACGTTCGCCGGTTCCTGCCTCAAAATGAGCGAGTTTGAGCCACTTGTACATCCAGGAAGTGTTCAGGAAAAGCAAAACAGCAGCGAAGAAACTCGACACAGAGAAACATTTACACCTCACTGCCAACTAGCGTTTCGGAAGTTTAAATGCAGATGTAACCCTCGATACACAAATGTATTATAAGCTTTTAATCAATGGACCAGATGCTCAGAAGTCTAAATTCCTCCAAAGAGAGAGAAGATACAACAACAGTGAAGGACTCGGACACAGAGGTAAGAATAATAAAAGATTGTATTGTAAAATGTTCACAGAAATATAAAATAAATAAATAAATAAAAATAAATAAATAAAACAAATTCTAGGTTTTTTCACACTTATCTAATGACCTCAATCTTATTTACACTCTCTAATAACACTTCTCTTTCTTCACAGGCTATATCACTAATAAGGTAAGTTAATATTGTTGTTTTTCTGTTTTTCTATTGTTAAGGCTAATATTATATTTTGGTTACTATTATAACAATAATATAATATTAATATGCTAATAACAGTACTATATTTGTTCAAAAGGCTTCTGGAACATTCTCTTGCTGACTGATACGCAAGTGCATCGTCACTTTAATGGGCGGGACTTAGAGAAGGAAGAGAAGCAGGTGTGCAGAGCAGACAAAGAGCCCGAACTGAAATCGCTGCAAAGTTAAAGTTATCTTCTTCTCTGCTCACGTTTGCATGCAGATTAAGACAACCAATGATGTATATAGTTGTGCGTGCACAGAAAGTAAGTGTATTTGGTTTGGTTTATGTAAATGTCTCGTTATTTTAGATCGCGGGTGAAATGCGCCATAGCGCCATAACGCAATAGCGTCTAATGGCCGATTTTGGAGTTGTAACTTATAATAGTTGATAATTAAACTTGTTTTCATATGCAGTATACCTATTGCATGTAATGTTAATACTTTACATGTACAAATGTAATCGTTTCGTCGAGTTATTTACTACATATACATGTTGATTATTATTTCATTGGAAAATGTGCCTCAGCCACGTTTAGTGATCTATTGGCGCCCTCTTGCGGACAGTTAGGGAACAACTGCTCTAAATGTTTCCATTCATATGGTGCGGTTACTGCAATTTGTATTCATGTTTTATAATTATAAGTATTGTTATTTGATATTCTAATTGTTATTTATATAATCGCTTATGTGAGATTATTTTTGTATTGTTTCAGAAAACCACAACTTATCATCAGTAAATGTTCAACTGAGAAATGGAGTCTGAGTGAATTTCTTTGAATAGATGACAGTAAACAGTTCTGACCGACTGTCTGCAGGGATTCAGATACACCCGAATCAGTGTTAAATTAAAACCTCAGTTACAAAGTGGTCCTTCGAGCCGGAGGCTGAATAACTGCAGAAATGTCATCCCGTTCACAGCAAGAGCCTCCAGCTGTTCGCCCCAGAAGACATATAAAGCCTCCTGCATATCTCGCAGACTTCCAAGTACGTATGACTGGATCTGAGAGGGGATGCCAGCAACTTACATATTCAAGTAATGAAGAAGTTAATGCAGAATATGCTCCATTGTCTACTGAACGTGAGTCTCATGTCTCTTCACCTATAAGTCAGCGTTCACCAACCAGTGATCTGGTGCTACAGGATGAATGGCAAAGTACACAGGGAGTGTTACAGAGAGAAGAAGATGAACAGTATCATCAGTCGCAGCAGTCAGCCTGGGAGGAGATGCAACGAGAGAATGATGAGCTTCGTAGCTGCATCCGACAAATGCCAGAGATTTTAAGTGCATTAAGGGGTCTTAAAGAGGAAAATATTGTAATGAAACGAGAGATCCAGCAGCTAGCCTCAAACGTAGCCATTCAGCATAAGCCAGTCGCTCGGTTACCAGCTCCTCGCCCTGACGTACCAGAAACAGTTCATAGCCAGCCTCTGTCCCCCACACAAAGCAGCGATTTCCCCCAGTACCCCTCTGGGCAGATTAAGCAGATAACAGAGCAGATGAGAGATTGCACTGTCTCACCTTTACCAGTAGAGCAGCCCCAAGCACTGCCAAGGTATTGTACCCCTAATCCAAGACTAGCTCCTCATCTTCAGCCTCATCCACATAGTGAACCCATCCACTACTATGAGCCCAGAGAGAATTATCCCTCGCACTCAGACCAACGAGAATCCTACCATATGCAGCGTTCAAGGATTGTGCCTCCATCTGCAGTGCCATACTCTCAAGAGAGAACATACCGAGGACCTAAGCCTTCTATTCCGTTCTTATCAACATCGGATCCACGAGAGTTTTCAAGGTTGCGCATGGCTTTAGAGAATCTCCTACCCAGTGATGCATCTGAACGTTTCCGATATCAAATCCTCACAGATCATCTACAGTTAGAGGAGGCATTGCTAGTAGCAGACTCATATTGCAACTCAACACACCCTTATACGGACACTATGCAAGCCCTCATCAACATGTATGGTCAGCCACACAAGCTGGTCCTGCAGAACATCGCTGAGGTCATGGATGGCCCCAATATCAGAACTGGAGATGTTGAAGCTTTCAAGCTGTTTGCGCTTCGAGTGCGTTCTCTGGTGAGCATGCTAGAACAGCTGGGTCCTGAAGGTAATGTTGAATTGGACTGTGGGTCACATGTTTCAAGACTGCAAAGCAAACTCCCTCATGAGCTGAGAACTAGTTTCAAGAGATATATACACCCTATGAGAGTAGCTATACCAACCCTCATCGATTTCTCTAACTGGCTAGAGTATGAGCTACAAGTTCAGGATGATGGCGTCAAAACTTCAGGTTTCACACCAGGCCCCAGCAACAAGAAAAGGCTGGAGTATCGTAATCCTAAGGCTGCCAGGAAACCCACAACCATCCTGCTAGGCACAGAGAAACCCATGAGTGGGAGAATAAGCCAACCACAAGCCTCAGAGGTGACACCTAAATCTGCCAGGTTTAAAGGACGGTTAAGTGCATATTGCCCCTACTGTGACAATACCAATCACTTCTTGAATGGGTGCGCTAATTTCAAAGACCTTACCAAAGAGCAGAAAGCGTCCTGGATTCGAAAAAACAATCGATGTTGGTGTTGCGGACGCAGCCATCATGCCTCGAAATGCACCCTGAAATCCCCCTGTAAGACTTGCAACAGGAGACACCTATGTATATTGCATGACGTAAATGAACGGACTGTAGATTACACTGCAACAGCTACGAAAGAGAACTCCTGTCTAGTTAACACCACCAAGGATGTCCTGTATGTTGATCGCCCAGTTTATAGCCGTAAAGTACTTCTGAAGGTGAGCAAAGTCATCATTACCAATGGAGACAAATCCATTGAGGCATATGCTGTTTTGGACGACGGGTCGGAGAGGACCATCCTGCTCCATACTGCAGCACAGGAATTAAATCTGAAAGGGCAGCCAGAGGACCTAATACTGCGGACGGTGAGGCAGGACCAACAGGTTCTTCACGGGGCGGCAGTCTCATTCACAGTGTCCCCTGTCAGTAACAAACACAAAAAATTCTCCATTCAAGGTGCCTTTACAGCAGAAAGACTTGGACTGGCCGAGCAATCTCACCCCGTTGCTTCCCTCCAAAAGAGGTACTGCCATTTAGCAGGGCTACCCTTGCAGCAAATAGACAGAGTACAGCCTGTACTGCTCATTGGCTCAGATTGTCCACACTTGGTGACCCCAATTGAGCCAGTTCGTCTAGGCCCTCCAGGTGGACCCGCTGCTGTACGAACTCGACTAGGCTGGACACTACAAGGCCCAACACACGAGATTAAGCATGGCCGCAATACTCACCAATGCCTCTTCACCGCTATACCTCATAATGCTGAACTGTTTGCCCAAGTAGAAAGGCTATGGCAGATGGACGTAATCCCATACCGCAATGAGAAAGTAGTGACTCGGTCAAAACTTGATCATGAGGCCATCCGACTCCTACAAGAGAAAACTGTAAGAGTTAATGTGGATGGAATTATGCGATATGCAACACCACTGCTGCGTGTACAACATATGCCTACTCTGCACATGCCTAAAGAAGCTGTACTGCCACAGCTCAGAAGCATTGAACGTAAGCTGATGAAAACACCTGATCAGGCATGTGCTTACAAAGCTGAAATTGAGAGACTCAAGAATGCTGGTTATGTGGAGAAACTACAACCAGGTGAAGCTGAGAAATCACAAGAATCATGGTACATCCCTCACCATATGGTCACCCACAATGGCAAGAATCGTGTTGTGTACAATTGCTCATTTCAGTATGAGGGACAAAATTTGAATAAGCTGCTACTACCAGGTCCCACTTTGAGCCCCACCTTGCTAGCAGTGTTACTACGTTTCCGAGAACACTCAACAGCTCTGAGTAGCGACATACGAGGGATGTTTCATCAGGTGAGGCTGCTTCCGGAAGACAAATCCTTGCTTCGGTTCATGTGGAGAGACATTGCTGTAGATCAAGCCCCAGAAGTGTACGAGTGGCAGGTACTTCCCTTTGGGACTACATGCAGTCCCTGCTGTGCAACATTTGCTCTCCAAAAACACGTAAAAGACCACAGTCAACCCGGAGATCAGGTGAGGGAAGTGATCGAAAAGTCATTCTATGTTGACAACTGCCTTTACAGTCACCCCTCCAAAGATGGAGCCAAAGATCTTGTTGATCAGCTTTGTGCCCTATTGAATGAAGGAGGCTTTGAACTGCGTCAGTGGGCCAGCAATTGTCCAAAAGTGGTCGCCCACCTTCCCTGTGATAGAAGATCGAATAACTGTGAGCTCTGGCTTAGTCAGGGACTGCAAGATACCCAAGAATCTACCCTGGGACTGCTCTGGCGTTGTCAGTCAGACACTTTGCACTACAAGCACAGGGAAGTGAACTGTACTAAAGTAACCATGCGCAGCATTTATTCTATCCTGGCCAGCCAATACGATCCCCTTGGCTATATTATCCCCTACACCACAAGAGCGAAAATACTAGTGCAGCGTCTATGGGATAAAAAGCGTGATTGGGACGATCCACAACTGCCTGAAGATCTGCTCAGTTTATGGAATTCATGGGAGAAGGAGTTGTGTGAGCTAGACAAGATAACACTGCCAAGATGCTACTCCAGTCCAGACATGGATGTACCAACTAGCAGACGAGATGTACATGTATTCTGTGACGCGTCGGAGAAGGCTTATGGGTCTGTGGCCTATTTGAGGACAGAAAGCACAGAAGGACAGGTTGAAGTTGCCTTTCTAGCAGCCAGGTCACGTGTTGCTCCCCGAAAGCAACAGTCTATACCTCGCCTTGAACTGTGTGCAGCTCTAAGTGGTGCCCAGCTCTCCAAGGTCTTAGTCACAGAGCTCACATTACCCATCTGTTCCTTAACCCTCTGGTCAGACTCCACGACTGTACTTACCTGGTTATTGTCAAGTTCTTGTCGTTACAAGGTGTTTGTGGGAACACGAATAGCGGAAATTCAAGAACTCACAGCTTCTGCAAGCTGGCAATACATACGATCAGAGGACAATCCTGCGGATAGTATCACAAGAGGAAAAAAGCTGTGTGACCTAGTCAAATGTAACCAGTGGAATCAAGGCCCCTCATTTCTTAAGCTGCCTGTGGAGACTTGGCCAGAGCAGCCATCCTTGCCTGCTGAAGAGCAGCAGCACGAACTAAGGCCAGCTGTGTTTTGTGGAGCAATTACAGTCACACCCTTGCCAAATCCACAGCAGTATGAGACAATGACTGAGTTCATAAAAGCGTGTAATCAGCAGCCATACGGGGCGGCCAACATTACATGTGCGGATGAACAAAGAAAACTGGAACAACTTGTTCTTTGTCAAATCCAAACTGAATCCTTCCCTACTGAGATGGCCCAACTAAAGTCCGGTAAACCAGTATCAGGTACAAGCCGATTGGCTTCTCTCACTCCCGAACTTGACCCTACCACTGGTCTCATTCGGGTAGGTGGCCGTTTAAGACATCGCACAGAAGCAGAGCTGGACTGTATTCACCCCATAGTCCTTGACTCCCACCATCCTGTAACTAAACTCATTATTAAGGATTATGATGAGAAGCTACATCACCCTGGATCAGAACGAGTGTTCGCAGAGATGAGGAGAACATATTGGGTGTTACGAGGACGTGAAGCAGTTCGGAGACATCAGCATCAATGTGCAGAGTGTCGTAGATGGAAAGGGAAACCAGAAGTTCCCCTGATGGCAGACTTGCCACTTGCAAGACAACAGCTCTTTAGACCTGCCTTCTTCTCAACAGGGATGGATTGCTTTGGACCTTACCTGATTAAGATTGGACGGAGAAATGAGAAGAGGTGGGGCATAATATTCAAGTGCCTCACGACCAGGGCAGTGTATATAGATCTGTTGGCCAGTATAGATTCTGATTCATTCCTAATGGCCTTAAGACGTTTTATCGCTCGACGAGGAAAGCCATACGAGTTACTAAGTGATCAAGGCACTAACTTCAAAGGTGGAGAACGAGAGTTGAAGGAATCTCTTGGCGCCTTGCACAGCGAGCTCCAAAGTCATCTTGCCTCCCAACAAATTAAGTTTGTCTTCAATCCACCGGGAGCACCCCACTTCGGGGGATGCTGGGAGAGAGAAATACGTTCAATTAAAGCTGCTCTCCAAGTTACACTAGGGGCACAGACTGTGACGGAGGAAGTTTTAAGAACAGTCTTAACTGAGATTGAAGGGATACTTAACTCAAAACCGCTCAGCTACACATCATCAGACATTTCTGATGTAGATCCAATCACTCCCAACTGCTTCCTCATTGGCCGCAGAGATGCCTCACTGCCCCAGGTGGTGTATCAGGACTCAGGAGTGATAAGCCGACGCCGTTGGAGACACAGCCAGCTGTCAGCAGACCACTTCTGGAGGCATTTTATTAAGTACTACCTGCCTAATCTCCAAGTTCGGCAGAAATGGAAAGCAGAAAAGGAAAACCTGCAGGTTGGCGAAGTAGTGATGATTGTCGATCCTCAGCTCCCTCGAGCTCTATGGCCAGTGGGGAAAATCGAGCAAGTACATCCAGGAGCTGATGACAGAGTAAGATCAGCCACTGTACAAGTTGGAAGGAAAACATATACCCGACCCGTAGCACGTTTAGTTAAGCTTCCAACCCTTGTTGAAGATTGATCCACTTTAAGGAAAGGACCTTTTGTAAATGTGCGAATTCAATTATTGAATTCGGGGGCGGCTGTTCAAAAGGCTTCTGGAACATTCTCTTGCTGACTGATACGCAAGTGCATCGTCACTTTAATGGGCGGGACTTAGAGAAGGAAGAGAAGCAGGTGTGCAGAGCAGACAAAGAGCCCGAACTGAAATCGCTGCAAAGTTAAAGTTATCTTCTTCTCTGCTCACGTTTGCATGCAGATTAAGACAACCAATGATGTATATAGTTGTGCGTGCACAGAAAGTAAGTGTATTTGGTTTGGTTTATGTAAATGTCTCGTTATTTTAGATCGCGGGTGAAATGCGCCATAGCGCCATAACGCAATAGCGTCTAATGGCCGATTTTGGAGTTGTAACTTATAATAGTTGATAATTAAACTTGTTTTCATATGCAGTATACCTATTGCATGTAATGTTAATACTTTACATGTACAAATGTAATCGTTTCGTCGAGTTATTTACTACATATACATGTTGATTATTATTTCATTGGAAAATGTGCCTCAGCCACGTTTAGTGATCTATTGGCGCCCTCTTGCGGACAGTTAGGGAACAACTGCTCTAAATGTTTCCATTCATATGGTGCGGTTACTGCAATTTGTATTCATGTTTTATAATTATAAGTATTGTTATTTGATGTTCTAATTGTTATTTATATAATCGCTTATGTGAGATTATTTTTGTATTGTTTCAGAAAACCACAACTTATCATCAGTAAATGTTCAACTGAGAAATGGAGTCTGAGTGAATTTCTTTGAATAGATGACAGTAAACAGTTCTGACCGACTGTCTGCAGGGATTCAGATACACCCGAATCAGTGTTAAATTAAAACCTCAGTTACAATATTAAAGGTTTGCAAGTGTAAGTTAATAATACAATATTAAAATTGTATTATTATTTAACATATAATCAAGATTTCCCTTCTTAAATCAGTTAACCTCTCTCTATAAAGATTCAAAAATTTCAACGAATGAACACTCTAAAGGAACAATGTACAAATAAAATAAAAATGAAAATAAAACATTCACTTAAAACATTTCAAAATGTTCCAAAAGTCCAGTAAAGGTGATAAACTTTCAAAAAGATTCTTTTGCAAAACAACTAGGTTGCAAATTAAGTTCCAGAGATCCAGGATGTTGCACTTGTGAGTGTGTTGTAAATTTACACTCCTACCATGACGCTGAATAGGTTTTACTTTGTATCTTTTCAACAGGTGTATCCAAAGAATCCACTCAATGGGAGGCTCGCCAGTCCAACTCCACAATGAGACACGCACCGATGGAAGTTGAGACAATCCAAATCCAGAAAAGAGTTCAAACTTCAATTAATTCGAATCCAGAGCAGATCACATCCAGCAACTGACGTCAATAGAACATCTCACCGATGAAAAACCAGAAGAAGATGCACAAACGAACAAGACCAAACAAAAAAAAAAACCTGGCCTTGAAAACACAAGGCCAAAGAAACCATTAGCATTTTACAGTGTATGCATTAACTCAGCTTAACACATTACTAAATAAACAGCAACAGTAAATAACCATGTATATGCTTCTCTCTGCTCAATTTATGTGTTTTTCCTATTTCTCTCTCCTATTTGGCATTTTCTTTTTATAAATGACAGCATTTTACTCTCTCACTTAAACTTTACACAATCACTTGTATAATACTCTGTATAATACTTTGTTTTTACTAGACCAAACAAATGGTTAATTAATGAAACATTTTTCGACACTAGTTTAAATCATGTTATAATGAAAACAATAATAAATAATAAAAACACGAACTCACCAAGGAAATCATTCAAAATCAAAACGAAACAAACAGGAAAACTCCAGGTGGCACTCGTGTGCAGATTTCACTCTCAGAAACAAATCTTGTTTTTTTCTTCTCTCAATCCTACATTAAAAATATATGATTGAAATCATGTCAGCATCTTATTAATGGTCAATTTTCACAGTTAATACGCATTAAAACATTAAAAGATGTAAATCTAATAGTTTTCTGCTGTTATTAATATAACAACTTACATCTCTGCTTTCCCTTGCGAACACTGAATCACCATAGCAACGGTAAACACAAGCTAACAGACAAGCGAGATTTGTTATTGTTTGGAAAGCTGATCTGCTGCTATAGTGTAAGGCACGATGATGTCATTCTAAAGCACTATTCCCTTGAATGCTGTATAATACTCTATTATAAATTATTTATATAAGTAAATAATTTTAATGTATATTATTTAATCGAGTATTCTGCCAATGTTTTTCCTTATATTTCTATTTGCTCTATTGCTGTATACTACCCACTAGTAACCTGGGTTACACAGACCAACAGAGCCAGCAGCAGAAGTATAAATGCACAGCTACGCGCATTGCATGCGCCGTGGGTTACGCCGGTCACTTGACGCAGAAGTACAAACCAGGCTTTAGCCTCCCCCTGGTCAGAGACCACGGGGATAGCAGCAAAGAAAAAAAATGCATTAAAAACATGTAACTGGTGTAAGGCAGAATATGAGTGTGTTTAATGTTGATTAACAGAACACTTTAGCTATTGTAATTTGTCAATCAAATTTAAAGTCCCCCTCTACACAAAAATGGAACTGTCCACCTCATTGCACTGATGGGCGCTGTTTATTACTGGAGTTCCAGGAGTTTGCAGCAGCTCTGAAAACAAAACCAAAACTGCTGGCCAGCGGACAATTCTGGTTTGCTGGTCAAGGACATAAGTAATAAAATGGCAAACCAGTATTATGAGAGAGGTGTAATAATATATTACACTGGTTTAACTTGTTTTTAGCATTAAATGAAATTGGTATTTGCAACCCAAGTTCATTCTGAAAACGTAGCCCCGTGAACATTTCTGGAGACCGCGATTTACGTGGCCGGAGGTACGTATGGCTGCATTTAATTTTTTCAAGCAAACGCTACGGGGCGGTGTGACGCCGCTCCTCTTCGTGCTTGCCAGCTGCAACGACCGGGTTTGAGTCCGGGCTCCAGAAATCAGGTAAGACAAAAACATAATCCAAAAAATAAAGCAAACGAGTTTATAACTGGGCGAGAATGCGGTGAAATCCAAAAACGCGGTCAAAATCAGAAGAGGGCTTTACTTTTTCTGGACAGCTTTTGTAAATCGTTGCTTGGGTTTAGGGAAGAAGATGGAGGGTGGGTCGGCCAATTGGCCGGCAGGTCAGTGGGTTGTTCAGTCAGTCAGTCGGACAGACGGTCGCTCGACAGTGGCCTTCGGCGGCTTCACGCGAGAACAGCTTTTGAGACACAAAAAAAACGTGCACAGCGGCCTAAAACAAAAATTGCATAAATATGTACCTCGCGGGACGTTTTTCCCGGTCTCCTGAAACGTCCGGGGGGCTACGTTTCCAGAATGAGCCTGTGTTAGGTAGTGTCATTGTAACGTAGTCTAGCCTATAGTGTAATAATTATTCTCATTATTATATACACTACCGGGCAAAAGTTTGGGGTCAGTAGGATTTTTAAATGTTTTAAAATAAGCTTCTCCTGCTCACCAAGGCTGCATTTATTTCATCAAAAATACAGTAAAAATTGTAAAAACAAGGAGCAATAATTTCATTTAAAACTGCATACATTAAGTAATAAATATTTAATAAATAAGTATTTAACATTCTATTAATATTTAAAAATGCCGCCTTGATGAATGGAATAATTTAACTTAAAATATTAAAGTAAATTAATAATAAAAAAACAAATAAACCGACCCCAAACTTTTGACCGGTACTGTAGATCAGTGGGTGAGTTTAATACAGTAATTTAATGTGCATGTTGAATATAATAGACGTTTGTTGATGGGTGGTGCTTTTGTAAAAACCTCTTCTTGGTCGGTCGCACATCTTTTTAAATGCATTAAAGTGCAGCGCATACATTAGCCTTACCCTGGAGTTTGTTCACCCTCCGCCTATGGGTACATACGTCATATAATCTCATTGCGAAAATTATAATTAATAGTATGTGAATACTGAATGCACAGTTAACTTGTATTTTTTTCACAGAGATATAACCCTGATGTACCTTGTCCGAAAACCTGAAAATCCCTTTTCAGAAGAAATAAAGGCCTTGGAAAAGAACTTATCAGTGGACCAAATAGACAAGTGAGTGAGACATGAAGTTTGCACAAGTTCCTCTATCATTGTGTTGGTAGGGAGTTTGCATTTAGAGCAGGGGTCATCAGTCTTGGTCCTGGAGGGCCGTTGTCCTGCAGAATTTAGCTCCATCTTGGCTCAACAAACATGTGATGCCAAGGTATATATATTCATAATCCTGGACCAGACCTTATTCTGAGCTGATGCTGTGGTGGTCATGGAGGAGCGGAGATCATGAGTCTGATTCCTGAAAGACCCAGTAACAGATGAGTCTCCGTAGGCCAGCCTGAACCCCCGCCGGTGACTTACTCACACCTGCAGCTTCTCCATGATGGACGTCCAGCGTTGTCCAGCCTCCGGCACCTAGACTGCAGCTCTGCACAAGAAGTTTGGCCAGAGGAGAAATGGTCGTTCCCAACTGAGCCTCCCGAGGGTTTTTTCCCTTCACTTTTGTTAATCGGTGAAGTTTGTTCCTCGTCGCTGTCACCACTGGCTTGCTTGGTTTGGGGCTTGTGGAGCTGCTCATTGATGGATTTTCTCTTCAGTGTTTGGACTTTCAGCAGTGAAAATTAAACCACACTGATCTGAGCTGAACTTCAACTCTGAAAACTGGACTGATACGGTTTTAGTTTACTAGAACTTCTATGTTAAGCTGCTTTGACACAATCTATATTGTAAAAGTGCCATAGAAATAAATAAAACATCAGTTGATCCTGCCTGGAAGTTTCTAATATACCTGGTAAAGCTGCGGTCACACTGTACTTTTTGCCCCTTAGACTTCTATTCATACACACACAAATGCGTTAGACCGGAAACGCAAGCTCGTGTGACAAGTTTCACATGTCACTGCGTTCCAGAGTTCAAGCTTGGTGAACTCTGACCTGCAAAATCGCATCACATGATTGTGTCGAACCAATAGAAGATCAAAATGTGACCTCTCTGTACAGATATGTAAAATATGGAGCAATCGCTCGCTTTATCAATGCCTGATCATCTTGATTTTACATGCTCAAACTCTAGTGTGACCACGTCTTAAGTCCTTGATTAGATCAGGCGTGTTTGATTAGGGTTGAGCTAAACTCTGCAGGACCCCGGCCCTTCGGGAGCAAATTTGGTGACCCCTGATTTACAGAATTCACTTCCACTGTTAAAAAAATCAACACTGATTTGCATACTGTATTAGCAATTTGCTAATTTAGAATGCTAATCTTACAAGTTTGTATCCACAACAGGAGTGTAGATTTTATCTTTTTAATTCACTCATGCTTAATAATTAAAAATATCTTCTCAGGAATAATTTTAAGTTATTTAGCATATGTTGAACAGGTAAATCATAATTAATGTTCTTAATGTAAAATATGAAGTGTTTTTTTGTATAATTCATTCATTCATTCATTCATTTTCTTTTCGGCTTAATTCCTTTATTAATCCGGGGTTGCCACAGCAGAATGAACCGCCAACTTATCCAGCACGTTTTTACGCAGCAGATGCCCTTCCAGCCGCAACCCATCTCAGGGAAACAACCATACACACCCGTTCACACTCATACACTACAGACAATTTAGCTGTCACCGATTTGGTCCCAGCAATTCCCCTCACTGACCAGCAGAGGTCACTATCACTGGCTTTCTAAGGTCTCCATTCCCCAGATTTCCTCGCATCTGGCACTGATTACCCTGCACCTGATCCTCATCAACACACACATAAGCAGCTCTCACTCGCTTCTCAGTGCGAAGTCTTGTTTTGCCCCGCATACATTTCTGCGCGTTATTCCTTGCCTTCTGATTGTTCTCTCGTTGCCAACTCGGACTGGTAACCGATCCTGTTTCATCTTGCCGCCTTCCCAGACATTTGACTGCAATTGGACTCTGATTCTCTGCCGCCAGCTCCGATTTCAGACTGTACCCTGATACCGAACATTATCTGCCAGTCTTCAAGCTTGTCACTACCTCCCATGCAAATGAGTATTCCTGTTCTTACTAAAGTTCTGTTGTACATCAGTATTAAACGTACTGCATATAGATCTCTCTCTGTCAACGTATTCATTACATTAGCCTACCCAATTCACCTGTACCGCATGTCTTGTGGGGGGATTGTGGGGGAAAACTGAGCACCCGGAGGAAACCAACGCGAACAGAGGGAGAACATGCAAACTCCACACAGAAACACCAACTGACCCAGCTGAGGCTCGAACCAGCGACCTTCTTGCTGTGAGGCGATAGCACTACCTACTGCGCCACTGCGTCATCATTTTTTTATGTGTAATCTCTTATTAAATTATTAAGTCATTAGTTATAAGTTGTTACGCCCTGTGTGGCTCGGAGGATGAAAAAGGGCTTAACATAATTATGACAACCCAATATTTTAAGAATTCCTCTGAGATGTTCACTGCTATGAATCAACACAGACAACGACGTGGCAAAAAACTGGTTCGCTTTATTACAATAAAGATAAAGAAGTGAATATTTAAATCACCCAAAGTATATTTACAAATATGTACAATAAATGCAAAAAGTAAACAAAAATACCTGATGGAGGGAAGGAGAATAAGCGGTGCCAAATCAAAGAAAATAACAAATTAAACACCCACTAACTTATCCCTCCCCCACCTCTACATAACTAAAGAGAAATATGTAAATAAGAAAAAAAACATCTTCAGCGTCACACGCCCCTTACTCAACTGCACTGACTGGAACAAACATACATATGGTAGCACCCGCCTCTAACCTAGTGGAATAACAAAAAAATCTGCTACGTGTGTGTAATATGTAAGTCACGTGACATACTTTCCTTCACTTCCCTCTAGGTACTTTTAAATCACAAAAACTCTCTTTAAAGCGAACCCGAGCACAAGATAGGCACCAAAAGTTACAAAAACACAGCAGCAACAAGCAACATGGATCCACCTCTCATCTGGGCTGAGTCATCACTGGAGCGTTTAAATAACACCCATCCTCTTCTGATTTGTCCACTCGGGAGAACTCTGCCAACCAATCGGAACACCTAGATTTTAGAAGTACAGGAGACAGCAAATAGAAACAGAAAGGGTAGGAGGGAACAACAGAGCAACACCCCCAGGCATGTAACATAAGTTAACTTAGTTATGTTATCATCATAATGTAATACGTTTTTAATCATAATTTGGAGAAATGATTTGTTTATTTATTTATTGCCACATCAATAAATAAACAAATAATTTCTCACAATAAATATTTGATTTCATTCATTTTCTTGTCAGCTTAGTCCCTTTATTAATCCGGGGTCGCCACCGCGGAATGAACCGCCAACTTATCCAGCAAGTTTTTATGCAGCGGATGCCCTTCCAACCACAACCCATCTCTGGGAAACATCCACACACACATTCACACACTCACTCACTCATAAACTACAGACAATTTAGCCTACCCAATTCACCTGTAGTGCATGTCTTTGGACTGTGGGGGAAACCAGAGCACCCGGAGGATACCCACGCGAAGACAGGGAGAACATGCAAACTCCACACAGAAACGCCAACTGAGCCGAGATTGGAACCAGCGACCTTCTTGCTGTGAGGCGACAGCACTACCTACTGCACCACTGCCTCCCCCAATATTAACTAAACATTTTCTAAACTTGAGTGGTTTGGTGCAGGTCAGTATGGCAGGTTGGTGGCTTTAGCTCTGATACTAAAGTGTTTGTGAGTTATAAAATATATAGCCCAGCGTTTCTGTCCCAGGACAGGCTTATTACTGAACACTTATGTATTTTTTCTTCCTGTGGCTTTACA